GCAGCTTAAAATGCTGCCATCAGTAGACTGTCTTCTAAGCACTGACGAGGCTGCCACAGTAAAATAGCTCATTTTAGAGGAGTGATAACACTTGTTAAAATGGAACAATGGGAACAAGACAAGAAAGAAAAAGCTTAGCTCCAGTTATTTCAACTGAGCAGCAAACAATTTAGGTGCCAAAACTTTTAACCTTCAGTAAACTGGTTTTGTAAGGGTGCGTACTTTTTTTTTTTCTTTTCTTTCAAACACAGCAAAAAAGGTGATTTTACTGGACAGTCAGAATGACTAGGAAGATCTGCTCTGTACTATAAGTTTATAAAGCCTAGGTTTATTTTTTGTTTGTGTTTTTAGGTTTTTTTTCCCCCTTGTTTTAAATCAAGGACATGCTCTACACAAGCTTATCAAACAGGGAATAGGTTGTTTAAAAAAAAATCTTGAATTGCAATATGGAATACATTTCAAACTCTCTTCTCCATTTTACTATTCTTTCTTTGTATGCAAATAAGCATCATTCATAGTTTTCCTTTTCCACCAATAGGTGGTGCCACTATTTTCAACAACAACTTCCAAGGAGAACAACAAGGCCAGAAGCGCCCAGAGTTGGGAATTCAGATATCCAGACTCTTTTGGTATTCTTATCACAGCATGGCTAGACAACAACTAGGGACCAGTAAATGATTCAGACAAACCAAACAAGGGTCTCAGTCATCTTAGACCATTCAAGAAAACTGAGAAAAAATTTAAATTCATATTTTGAATAATAAAAGCTTTTTATTACTTCATTTCCTCATATACCCATGCATCCTAACTCTGATAAAAAACAGACAGCAAAAGCGTAAGATCACAATGGAAACAGCTGGCTTTGTATTTACAATGTGACAAAAATTATTAGTGGAAGTGTAACCTGGATCCTGATCATAGTGCTCTCCACAAGGCATGGATAAGGACCCAATAAGCTGCTCGATTACCGTTTCATATTAATTCAAATTCCAGGTTTATATACTAGAGATCCAAGTCCAAACTGCAGTCAGGTGATCAGTCAGATCACTTCCGTCCCCACTAGTCAAACCTGGATGATAGCATGGTGCTGCCTTTGGGAAAGGAGGAGACAGGGAGAAGATTGCCACATGATTGTGAGGGATGGACATGTAATAACAGCACAGGAAACGTTCACTGCCATTGCTGAGATGCTATTGATCTAGACATCTAAGACCCTGAAAGATCCAGCTGACTAGAGACATGTGGCTGGAGGTGCAAGCGCAACTCTAGGACCCTTGACTCTGTGGCTCCATCTGCATTGCCTCAATAACCAAAGCAGAAAGCAGTGCATCAACAGCAGGCAGTTAACCCCACCTTAAGGTAGTCAACTGAGATGCACTAGGTAGACATCTCTGCCAGTACCTCTCCTCCATCAGTTCTAGACCAGTGGCTTGGTCTGAGCACACCACTCAAGAAGGGCTAAAGCTAGAGCAGGGGAATCCCAGTTGGTCGCTCTGCTCCCATCCCACATTAGGCAAGTTACTTGGAAGCATGTTGGTTATTCAGTCGATGAGGACAATCGGCTTCAAAGCCTGCCTCAGCCCACTGCTCGGAGGTGCTACTCCTAGGGTCTCAGTCTCAGCCATTTTCCCACCGATGACAGGGTGCTGATAGCTTGGACAACCAATCCCACTCCATTTATCTTGAAGTCCCAGTGCCTCACTGGATGGCATGGTGTATGAACAAATATATTATTCTCCATGAGAAGCTCAGGCATTAACACTGGG